TTGTTGTAAAAGCAGTTGATGTTTATAGTCCGAAGGAGACGGACGTGGGGATCCTTGAGGACGCTTTACCCCGGGATCCCACGAAAGCAAACGTTATATAAAGTTGGATCCTTGAGGACGTTTTACCCCGGGACTCCAAGACCTCAGCAGGAAGCTGGTAAGCACTACATTCTCGGCAGTATGCCGGTATACTTTCATTGCTTAATTCGGACTTGTCCGAGGAGAAAGTAAATCGTCTGGATCTCAAGGTCGGACTGCGACCTATCGTGAGGACATGTCAGTCTATAGATGTACGAGCGAGCCTTGGTTGAACGAGTTGATTATTACGTGCATATGTATTTCTCATTGTATTGCTGATTGTATATGTCAATACAACCGTTGGAACTTAACGCATAGCGTTCGAGCTCTACCTTTTGAAAGCATTGAAGTAACTACTGTTTTACCCCTACTTGGCCTAATTCATCTTGGTACCACACACATCAGCATGAAGCTCTGCACGTCACAATGAAGGACCGCACGTATCATGGTACACACAGGGTATGCAGTCTATTTAGCGAAAAGGAATTTTCCATAAAACTGAAAGCCTCACAGCATTTAGTCTTTCATATAGCATTGAGATTTTCTCTCCTGTCCATAGATGGTCCATTCCTGATAGTCGCACTGCCAGCCAGGGTGTCTGCTCTCTCATTGTCTTTCACACCAGCATGCCCTGGGACAAAAATGAAGGTTATTTTGGGAAACGCTGCATGGTGTATCACATGAAGCCACTGTTTTCATATTTTCTTTACTCCTGACGAATCACAGAACCATCTGTTTTTATAACAGCATCTTCTGATGATGTGTGTTGCTCCACCAATTCTTTCACTTCTGCATGTTGTTAGATTGTGGTGGTGATGAACCTCACATTCTGGTGCTCCAGGACAAGGGCTTATACTGGTCAAGACCTATTTTTATCTACACCAATTTCCATTCATCATAGAAACAGGTTCTCTACTGGGAGCCTGGGCAGGCAAACAGGATATACATGTCCCTGGGCAGGCAGACAGGATATACATGTCCCTGGGCAGGCAGACAGGATAAACATGTCCCTGGGCAGGCAGACAGGATAAACCTGTTCCTGGGCAGGCAGACAGGATATACATGTCCTTTGAAGCTGGAGTGAAAATCTCCATGAGAAGGTTAGCACACAAATAAGTCAGATTTGTAAAACAGATGTGCATGCAATTTTTAAGTCCAGGAACAAAGCTAAAGTCCAGAAGTGGATGAAAAACCAGAACTTTTTGCCAGAGTTTACAGCCAGTGAACATTAAAAAAGAAGAAGACATATATTGTTGAAGGAATCTCCGAAATAAGTAATGAAGGTTTTTGTAGAAAGGAAAAGTTGTGAGGAAGGGTGTTGTCAGCTCACCTAATTATACTATGACTTGCTAAAAGTTTACATTTCCGACTTGTACTACTGTATCTACCATAAGATTACTTGATTAGTTTATATAGATCCTGTTCTGCACAAGGAGTCCCCGTGGCGTAGCAGCTATACGCTCGTCTGTGGATCGGAAGGTCATGGGTTCGCTCCCTGGCAGAGCTGGAATTTTTTCAAAACTGACCTTGGTCCCAGGTCGACCCAGCCTTGAGTAGGTACTAGGTGCAGTCCTGGGAAGTGAAGGAGGCTGCGTGATGCTGACCACATCACACATCTTGTGCCGTTGGTCTATAAAATATAGGTCTCTAGCTCTATATACCCACTACACCTGAAAGGTGTGAAAAAAGGTCATTTACTTTTATTTTACTGTTTTACACACCAGTAAGATAAAGAGTGTATATTGTGTTAATTTTCAGTAACCAAACAGTACACAAGGAATACCTATCATCATCCTTATCATCATAAAGCAGGTCCATTACAGAACATCATTTATATCACAGCAAGCCTGAAAGAAACTCAGTCCCTGCCAGCTCTCCAGCTTCAGGCCCTTTCCTGCCTAAGGGGATCTTTTATGTTCTGTTCCCATCTTCATGCTGTTCAGCCCCTGCCCTTTTTACCCAGTACCATGCCATCTGCTACTGTTCTTTCCAATCCACCGTGATGCACAATATGGCCAAAATATTTCAGTTTATGAAACAAAATGCTGCTTATTAATCAATTTTCCTTGACCTTTAGGTCTTTTAAAATGCCAATGTTTCATTTCTTCTAAGTATTTTATTCTAAGAATATTTATGTAGCATTTCAGCTCAAAAGCCCCTATTGTCTTCCTTATTCACTGCATTATAGACCATGATTAACATCCATATGTTGTTATAGGAAAGATGCATGCTTTCAAAATGTTGACACTGACTTTCTTGCTGGTGCATAGCCGATGATTGTTCATAAGGAATACTATGATCAGTATAATGTAGCAGAAATATTTATATAGCAGTAAAATAAACAGGAGGACAACTAATTCTTCCACCATTTTAAAAAAGAATCTAAATGATAACGAGACTCACATGCTTAGATCATCCTCTGCTAAATGGCTCTGTGGGATATAAAGCAAGCAAAGAATTGGTGGTGGCAATAATTACTACAGTGAAAAAAACAAATTTATAATGTACACATTTTAACACATTATGTGAAATAAAACAAAATAATGTAGTCAAAATTTACAAGGAATTTTTCTTCTGCTTTGGCGATTATTATTTTTCAAAAACATACAGTTTTGCTAAGCCAAATTTGCCTTTACAAATTTGCTTTTATTGTCTTTAGTAAAGTATGTCATACACATTTAAAAGGAAATTAATCTGAATAACATTTCTGTTCACTATTTCAAAATATATGTGTGTTTTTTTTTCTTTCAGGCATGGAAATATTCAATGTAATGTCTCTAATAACAGCAGTAAATAGTTTCAGACTGACAAATTTGTGTTCAGTTTATTTCTTATTTTATTGAGATATCTACATGATAACAAGATCATTTGCAAGTCTGAATAAACTGTTTCACTTCACAAATACCTTTCAATTAAATTGTGTTAATTACATAGTCCAATTCTCTGCTGACTGAGATTTTGTATGTCACTGTGATCAAACCTCTGACATCATAAAAAAACAAATCAGACAACCTTAATTCCCTATAATTTTAAAGACATGTTCTTTACTGCATTAAATTTTTTTGTTCATGTGTCTTTAGCAGTTCTCAAACTTTCACTTGCATGAGTTGAAAATTTAATATTTCCATAAAAAAATAAGAAACTGGTTTTAAAATTGTATCATTTAAAATTTAATTATTTTGTTCACACCATTAAAAGCTGGTATTGCACTATCAATATGGAGCACTCTTTGTTTTATCTGGTTTGCTTTGGCAATGAAAACTGCTACCCTAATTATAAACTGATCTGTTACTTCAGTTATTTCTGCCTGCACTGTGACATTCTCTTGATCTGCTATTGATGTCTTCAATATATTGCCAGCCACCTAAACCAGTTACCTTAGAAATGTCGGTGCCAAAAAAAACAAGTTTATATACATCTAACGTTTCGAGGAGATGACGTCATGCAACGTGTATATGATCGACTCAAAACAGCAGTCGGTCAAACCTTTTACGCAGCCATGCCTGTTATGAGATTTAAAACCACCATAATTCCTACGCCACCTGTAAAAGAACCAGTGTCGACGTACGCCAGATCTAGCTGTATATACCACTTTAAATGCACCTGTAACGCCGCATATGTGGGCAGAACTTATCGATGACTGGAGAAACGGGTTGCTGAACATATTCCACTATGGGTGGTAAAAGCAATGCAGAACACTAACACCTCAACAACAACAAATCATGTGACTAGTCGACAAAATCCATCATCAGCAACTGTGTGCCATATTCTAAATTGCGGACACATCATTAACAGGGATGATGCATTTCGAATTATTTACAATTCAGCCAACCATAGATTACTCAGATACGCGGAAGCTTCCACTATCAACCGGTTGAAACCAGATCACTGTAGGCAGAAAGAAATGGTAGTTTCCTTAAGGTTACCTTGGTGAAACAGACAGTGTAGAATGTACTCGGATTTGTGTTTCAGTTTCTAGGATTCAGTTATTTGCTTCATTTATTCACTTGTTACTGTAGTATGCACCTGACGAGATACAGCGAAATATGCCAGGCAATAAATTGTGCAGTCTATTGTTTGAGTCTTCTTTGTTCAAATTCAATATATTTGTCTGTTCATAACCAATTTTTAGTTTGACTTTCAATGCCGCATTTTTCTAAATCATCTGGGTTTTTTTTTTTTTTAGCATGCCATTGCTGTTCTTACTTAGCTAATATACAATATCATCTGCAATTATCTTGTCATTCCCTTGTGGGGTGCAATTTTTCATTATTTGAAGCCCTACTCTGGCTCTTGCCAGGGGCCGCAATATAGCCCATCCATAAATATGGTCTAATGGCTGAACGCAGTTTTTATGACCTCTCCACAGGTGATCCTCATCCACATGGTGGCACTTTATGTCATCTGGTGTTCATCACTTGTGTGATGTCCTGGTGGGGTAAAAGAAGATAGATAGATAGATAGATCATATGCAAAATCAAGATCTTCCAACTGTATACTTCAGAGGTTCACTGCTGTTATTTCCTGCAAACTGTTCAAAATCCAGTCAATAGTTCTGCCAAATAACAGGGAAAATCAAATACATTCTTGTTTCACTAAAACAGAACCTTGTTTCACTCCAGTTTCAATAGCAAACCAATCACTTATACCATCCTCTGTGAGTACTCCACACTCTGAGCTCCCATGCATTGCTTCAGTAAAGTTTACTATGTTGAAGGTATACTGTAACTTTTCTAAGATTTTCCACAGTGAGGTTTAGTGGAAGCTATTCAAAAAACTTTTTAATAATTTCACTGAAGTTCAAAATAAAGAGATTGTTGTTTTTCAACAAATTCTTCTAAAATAAGCATCAGACAACAACTACTTAAAAAATACATCAGCTTAAAATTGCAGTGATCAAAATAGAAAACTGTGGATGTCACCTGTGCCTCAATTTTATTTCTCACTAAATCCATTTGTCTTTTTAGAGTACAGTTCTCTTCTTCAGCCCTGGAGATTTAAAAAAACATCAGTATTTGAACAATATATGACAGTATCCCATACACTGAGATTGGTTGTACACTTACTCAGTAACTAGACAAACAAGAAAGTCTATGTTTCAATGCATTAAATGCTCCTGATGAAGACTGTACTATAATATAATGTGTGATAACAGTCCATGTTTCACATTTATATAGCAAAACAAGTTCCAGTAGCACTTAAACACTCTTTTTCTCCCTGTTATTCTGATCTGTCGTCCTGTTGGAATTGCAAAAGAAGCATCTGTGCAGCAGATGGAGGAGATGATTAGAGATGACAGGTGAGTAACAGTTGACTCTGTAGCAGCTGCAATAGGTTGCTCACATTCAACATAATGAAAGATCGATTGAAATCTAAGAAAGTGTGCTCAAGGTGGGTACTCAGACAATTGACGGACAAACACAAAATGAACCGATTAAGCCTGTCCTTGTAGCATCTCTGTTGAGATGCAGATGAAGGAGAAGACATGCTGAACAGGATTATTACTAGGGATAAATCATAAGTGCATCACTACCAGCCTGAATCAAAGCGAACTTCAATGCAAAGGAAACATCCTTCTTCGCCTTGTGTTGAAAAATTCAAGGTTACGGCATCAGGAGGGAAGGTTATGCTGATAGTGTTCTGGGATGGCCAAGGAGTGCTTTTAACAAATTTAAAAAAAAATAGATGACAATGTAAATGCTGATTCATACTGTAATAAGTTCTGTTGATGCTTTATGATGCAGTTCGAAGAAAATGTCCATGCCTGTTGAGTACTAATCCTTCAGGAAAATGCCAGACCACATATGTCTTTGTTAACTCAGGAGAAAATTAACCATATAGGGTGGAAACTTCTGGAACATCCACCTTACAGCACTGACTTAGCCCCTAGCGATTTCCACCTTTCTGGTCCACTGAAAACCCACCTTGGCGGGAGACATTTCGTAAATGATGCAGAAGTTGAATGTCAAGTGACAATGTGGTTTAGGAAACATCACGCAGTTCTATTCAGCAGGTTTTGGGGGACCGATAAAATGATGGGACAAGTGCTTCAAAGTTGGTAGAAATTATGTTGAAAAATAAAGGATCGGTGTATGTGTATAAATAAACAGTTTTCAAGTCATCTTTATTTTTTGTTTTGGTTGTTTGTAATCAACCATTTGTGACTTCTAATTGACTTCCCCTTATATCTCAGAATGTACATCATTTGACAATGGGTTCTGCACACCATGTCTCTGTAGTAGTAGTAATTTTAATAAAATATCCTGTTCAACCTTGAGGGTTATAACTGGTACATTAAGTGTTCACTGAGTTTTCAGACTATATTTACGGGGTTATGCCCTGCATGGAAAAGGGGGGCGAGATAATTCCCACTGTGCCAATAACAAGCATTGTACAAGACAATTAATTATGGGTGTTTCCTTCAAAGTCGGAGAATACCTGCCCAAGAGACAAGGAACAAGCAGTCTGTATATAAATAAGCCAGATCTGTAAAATGGATGTGCATGCCAAACTCAAGTTCTGGAACAAGGCCAAAGTCAAGAAGTGAAGAGACAACCAGGACCTTCCACTGGGGTTTACTGTCAGTGAACGCTAAGAAGGGGGAGGAGGAGGTTAAAACAGCATTCATTACACTCAGCCATATACACTGAGAATACATTGTGTAAATGTACGAATCTTTTTTGCAGAAATACTCACAGTAGGTTAAAAAAAAAAATTTTAGGGCAGTGCCCATACAGGCTGGGTGATCCTAGCCATTGTACCTCAAGTACCTCCTTTGCCTAGCAGAGTCACAGTGGAGACAAGTTCTGCACTTTTAAGCTGCTCACTACTTTTATTGATCCCTTGCCTGTCATGATAATCATATTGAAACAGAAACAACTAATAAACATGTGTTCACATTTTAAATCTCTTCTCCAAGATGGCCATCTCCTCCTGTAGTCTTTCCAAATTTCTGTTGATAATTTTAGCACTTGACTTTTCTTCAGACAGCTCCATCTGAAATAATCACAGAAAATGCACAGCATCGTGAATCAAGAAAAAATGTGTAATCCTTTCCCTCTTCACGTTGCAGAAAGGGTTACTTTATGGAAAAAAAATGTCATAAAACTGTGTTTCTGAAAAATGTTTTTAAAAAAAATAATTATACACATGTGATTATTACATTAAAAACAAATTTATTTATTCACCAAAAAAAAAATATATGAAAGGGAGTAATCAATTATTATGAATGGTGAAGAGAATTTAAAAATATACATTCCCTTATACCTAAACGATTTAGACTCATAAAGAGCCCCCCCCCCCCCTTCCCACTCTATATGCAACCCCTAAAGGTGCATTATGACATCATAATGACTAACAAAAGCTAAATATTTCACAATAAAACCAACTCTAATGTTATTTTTAGTAAATAAAATAATATTGGTCTTTTTAAACACTGTGAAGGTGCAAAGAGAACCAATGTCATTAACTAGGCTTCTTGGGGACTGGCCAGTGCAGCGATGGTGATTATGACTAGCAAGATCTGTCCGTGTTAAAAAAAGTATTTCAGAATTAGAGCACGAATGTGCATCCGAGATGAATTAAAGCTTTGAATGAAGTTTCTGCCCCTCATAGCTTAACCCTACCAGACCGCTGGCTCGTTTTTCCGGGAATTTCATAACTGTTCTGTATACCGCTGGCCCTAATTTTCGGCTATTTGCATAGTGCGTGAGAAAGATGCATCACTGACTAAAAATAACCAACCTATCGTTGTCAGTCTGCTTTGTTAGACATTGCAAATGGCTTCCCCGTGTGTATGAATCAATTTTGTGTGTTTTAATGTGAAAAAAATTCGGAAAATTCAGAATGAAGCGAGCGGCTGATGAACCAAGTTCTAGGCTTTTCACAGTCCAACAGGTGATCGATACTTTGGTTTATTCAGACTCTGTGATTTATATATATATATATATATATATATATATATATATTATCTGTGATAATTTCATAAAGAATACGTTCTTGAAGTGACACTGTCAGTGAGAGCGCGAATGATGAGGAAAATCTAGAAAATTATCAATCTTGAAATAGGTCGATAGTAGGAGGAGGGGGTGTGTCCATCAAACGGCAACATCTGGAGTTCACTTTGTGAAGCAAAGTTGATCCTAATGAGTGAATTCGCACACTAAGTAGAATATTGGCGCTAGATAAAAGGTAAGCCTATTTTCTACAATGTCTCCAAGTTTCATCATATTCTAGCCACTTGTTTGCATGTAACTAATATTTATGTATATCATGTTGGTTTTTTCGCGGTAATGCCCAGGAGCTCAGGTTATAGGGACAGTTAGGTTCAGGGCTTTAGGTCTAGTAGGGTTAAAGCTTGCCCATGTATCTTTCCGCCTACCTTAGTTTCTCTAAAGGAAAGGTAACATCAATACGTTTAGAATACAGCATGTTTCAGAAACTGGCGGATGAGAAGAGCAGTACTCTGTCTTTCTGCCTGTTAGAGCTTCCCTCCTTGACTAGCTGCCAGCCAATGATAAGGGCCTGGTCTGCACTGCCATAAAATGAAGTTTCCAAATTGCATTTCCTCTTCCTTTAAGGCTAGTTTCCTCCCCAATGCGCTCCTCCACCCGAAGCCATTGGCACAAAGTGAGATGTCAGGTCTGCTATACAGCAACCAATATTTGGCTAACAGAAAAGAGAAATTAGCAACTACTGTTACACTGTAGCTCAGTCATTTCTGATCAAGACCTGACACACTATCCATTAATTATAAATCTCATAACAGGTGACAGGAAAACTTATGGGGTTGTCAAATTATTTCAGAAAGAAGAAAAATGGATAGTGACAGTTGAGTACATTTAACCAATCTGCCCTATATAAAATATTAAGACAAGAAAGACCTTTTTCTACATTTCATTAACAAAATTAAAAAAAAAAATTATACTTATTATTCTCTGAAAGTATACCCTGAAAAACTAGGAGAAGAGAAGAAGAAGCAGAAGAAATTTGGAGTCTTGATAAGTTTTTAAAACAGTCCAGGGGGTCAAAACCCTAGGCCAACAGACCACCAAGCACACAGGAGAACATGAAGGCCACTGCATCAAGGCTATCAAGTCACTATATATAACACCTTAGAAATGGTTTCTTTCAATCATTACAATTAACAAATATCAGTAAATTAACTGGTTTTAAAGAAGAGTTCCAATTCAGATGGTACCAGTGGCAGTCTGTGTGCTTGTTTTGCCTTTCCTCGAGTGTTGAGTGTGGGCCAGATCTCCTGCCCACTTCCTGCTGCATCACTCTCTTCAGACTGTCAGATCTATTTGTGCTTCCACGCTAATCACCCTGTGAGATCTATTTGTGCTTCCACGCTAATCACCCTGTGAGATCTATTTGAGCTTCTACGCTAATCACCCTGTGAGATCTATTTGTGCTTCTACGCTAATCACCCTGTGAGATCTATTTGTGCTTCCACGCTAATCACCCTGTGAGATCTATTTGTGCTTCTACGCTAATCACCCTGTGAGATCTATTTGTGCTTCCACGCTAATCACCCTGTGAGATCTATGTGTGCTTCTACGCTAATCACTCGCCCCTAAAGGATTTTGGCCACAGAAAGCTTCTCTCGCCTCAGTTTAAGAAAAGTGGCGCAGAAACAGCCAACTTGTCTGTATGTTCATTTCCCAAAGTAACTGCAATCCCAGGAGAAAAAATTCAAAGGATTATAACTATCTGAAAACTACCCAGGATCTAGGAAGGACAAAACAACCACAGTAATTAGCATAACCAAACAATATAATCTTCTTTTACTTACATTTTTTTCTTATGACATATAAACAATTTGTTACAAAATGTGAATGCCTCCTTGCCAAATTTAAATAGACATTTATTCATTTTAATTAGAAACAATTTACAAGTCAGTCGTACCTTTAAAGCTTGTATTGTAGCATCTTGCTCAACAATGTGAGACCTGAACTTTCTATCAACATCTTGCAGTATGTGACTTTCCCTGGCCTGTCATGATTGTTGATAAGAATGGAAGATTAGTTCACATCATTCATATGTCAGGCTTAAACAAGAAGGGAAATTACTGCTATGCAGCAATAGCCAACTCATAGTTACTAAAACTTCACTTTGCATCTGGAAGGTAAAGTGTTTGAGATTGTTCGTATTTAACTGAAAGTCAAAACACTATTAGAAAGAGCTATAGAAGTGATCAAACACATGTACTTATAGTTCATATACAACACAAATATGAAGCAGTCAGTTAGATTAATTAAAAACTAGTGGCAAAGATCTGCATACAAAACAAATCTGGCATTAAGCCAATGTCACCTAAATGTTGGCTATGGTTTATTTAAGTGCAATTTCAGGGCTGCTTTTTTTCACTTTGGGAGATACTGTGGTGTAGCAGCTAAACGCTCACCTGCAGATCAAAAGGTTATGGGTCCGGGTACTGACCGAACCAGGCTTTCTTCAAAATTGACCTTCGCTCACAGATCGAGCCAGCCTGAAATACCAGGTGCAGTCCTGGGAAGTAAAGGCAGCCAGCATGGTTTTGACCACATCACCTACTAAGTGCCGACTGGTCTATAAAATACAGGTCTAGCCCAATACACCTGATGGCGTGGAAAAGGGTCCTTTACTATTTTTCACTTTACAAAATGCCAAAGACGCGTGTGAATTCCTTTTCCATATAGGTCATAATGAAGTATTACTTTTCACACAAGTACAAATTTTAATTTGCCACACGATGTTCAGTGTGATTTTCTCAAAACAAGGATTCAGCACTTAAGTGACTGGCATAGTGTCAAACATTTATTGGCAGCAAACCACAGCTATATAAACCTATAACCATTTAACAATACTTCAATGCATAACAAAAGGTGACAGAAAGGATGCAGTGGACTGTGGTCTGTAGTATTTTATTTTGCCCAAGACAGAAAAAAATCCATTATCTTACTGATTATTCAAACCTGGGTCTCTTGAATAAAAGCCCAGTCTTTAACTACTTGGCTAGCCACACCTCGTGAGCCTAATAAAGTGTTATAAAATAACAGTATTATAATATAATGAAAATGTAAGTAGGAGAATAAATAACATACCTTGGCTTTATTCAACTCCTGTTTCATGGTTTCACAATCTTTACTGAGCCCACTTCTCTCCTGAAACAGTTGCTTCTTGTAAAGTTCTGCCTCTTCTTTAGCTGCCCTCTCTCTGTGCTGAAGTTCTACTACTGCTTGCTCCAGATCCTGAACACAAGTTTATGCATAGTTTTATTTCATCAAATGATAATGATTATAACAATGTTTATAGTAATGGAAACAAAAAATGAACACCAGTACTGAATGTGGACACATTATGTGAACAGTCACAGTCTTACTCTTTCAGTATTTTATCCCGCTAGTTTTATGTTTTCTTTTCAGGCATGGCCAAAAAAATAATGATTGTTTTTTTTTTTTAGTTGGCAACATGATTCTTTGACATTTTAGTATCTCCATTACTTATCTGACTGTTGACATGTTTAACAATTTACTTTAAAAAAAAAAAATCCTGCCATGAATATCAAAATGTGTTCTGTGTAAAACTTCAAGAGGGGTTTTCATAGCTCCAGGAAATCTGTGAAGGTCAAAGGAAATGAAAGCAATGCCAAACTTACAATATTTATCTCTTATGTCAAATCAGTACTGTTGCATGGAGCTGAAACACGGAGAACAACTACAACAAACTAGAAAAATCCATTAACTGGTATTGTTTAGAACAGAAGGAATTGAATGGTATGAGAGACTCAATAATATGGAGATCTGAAGAGGAACAAAACACATTCCAGTTAATCAAGAAATGAGGAATAGATGCTGGAAGAGGATAGGACACGCACTGAGAAAATCTGATTAACAATAAAAATGAAATGTTCCTGCTCTAAAACCAACAGGGTCACAGGAATAAAACAAGACTACAAAATATATAAATAATGTGGCCTTGCTAGATTCTCAATTCAATAAATTTAACAATTTAACTACCTAGATATTTCTCAGTTTACAATGTATAATTACAGTTACTGGTACTATCGGAATTGGAATTCTTCGCTTGCTCCTGAAGATGGGGACTGAGCACTTATGGGAGTGTCCCGAGTGCTGTGATGTCAATATTTAATTCAACATAAAATATAATTCCTGTAGAATATTTGTTACAGTACAAAACAACAATAATTTTTTTATATTAATGATTTACATGTAAAATAATGTTTTTTAAATATTTACTGGAAACAAGTAGCAGCAATTTAACATGGGTAATAAAGTAGGTAATTTCAAAAACACAAAATAAGGAGTAAGACAAGGATGTGTTTTGTCACCAGATTACTTCTTACTTTATAGTGAAAAATTAGTAGTGATATCAAAGATACACCAGAAATATGAGTTAAAGTTTATATTATAATACAGTAAAGTAAAGGTCCCTTTTCCATGCCTTTAGGCGTATAGGGCATATAAGGCTAGACCTATATTTTTATAGACCAATCGGCACAAGATGGGTGATGTGGTCTGCATCATGCCGGCCGCCTTTACTTCCCGGGACTGCGCCCTGTACCCACTCAAGACTGGGTCAACCTGGGAGTCAAGGTCATTTTATAAGAAATATTAAATAAGGTTTATCACTTAATAATGAACAATACACTGCTCTTTGTAGTGACAGAGAGTCTATCAAATGACTCTCCTTGAAAACCAGTAAAATAGAAACAATAATTATATCAAGTAAAAAAGAGGATATCATAATTTGATTCTACAATACAAAATATTACATAAGTTTCTAAATTCAAAAATGCTGGGATAATTATAACAATATGTCTATGACTGAGGAGGCTATAAAAGCAAGAACCGGAATTTTTATCTCCCTTGACACCCAAAGCAGTAAACAATAAAAAAATTACAGTGAAGAAGAAGAATCATAATACAGGATGGAAGATATATGACTGAGATCAATAGTAAGATAGAACCAAAAAAAGTTGCACTTTAAAAGTGTATTAATACCCCTCAGTCTGAGGCCTTGAGATGTGATTTTACAGAAGAATCCTTTCTTCTTAACAGTCGCGCAGGTAGCGGAACATGAAAATAATCACAGGGGCGAGCGGTGAGAGGATGAGAAAAGAGGCAATGGTTTGACTGTTCACACTAAAGAAAACAAAACTCTTCTGCAACATAGAAGAGGTCCAGCAACCTAAGGAGGCATAAATGGCAAGGGAAGTTACTCTAATGTCTTGGACAGCAACAACAAAAAACGGGGGGGGGGGGGGGGGGGAATAAATGTTTGGAAAGAGTTGAGGGCTAGAGGATAATTTATCACAAACATCAAATGTGGGTCATATTATGAGAACAGAGGAAGACAATGCAAGATAACTCTTCACAGATATCAAATGTACTGGTTTACTTCTTCCTTGCATTCACCAGCTGTAAACTCTGTCTGAAAGTTCTGGTTGTTAGTCCACTTCTGGACTGCAGTCCTGTTCCAGAACCTGAGTGTTGCGTGTGCATCCATTTGACAGATCTGACTAATTTTTATGCAGACTGTTGGTTCCTTGCCTCTCAGGCAGATGCACTCCAACTTTGAAAGAAGCTCCCAATTAGTCGACTCTTATGACATGCTTTTGGATAGGCAGTGGGTCATTCTCGTTTTCCTTATAACAGGGCCCCAGAACTCACACAGGGATATTGGTTTACAGTTTATTAACTTCCATGGCTCAGTGCACATTTTGTCAGGCAAAGATAACAAAAACTTCAACAAAAACATCAACTCACATGATTGTTTGCCACAGCTTCCGCCAGCTGAGTGGCAATACTGGCTTTCACATTGCTCAAATCCTTTAATTCTTCCTGCAAAAGATCACAAGGTCATGTTGAGTTGACACAATTTTTTTTTTTTTTAAACAATCATACTATTTTTGTGGGGATAGTCCGGATTTTTTTTTTTTTGGGTACATGACAACTGAAACTAAATTGATAATATCATTGTTGTTACCTTTACTTAATAGAACATTTCCTGGTACTGTGTACTCCACCCCCCCCCCCCCCCCCAAAGATCAGGTCTTAAATTAGTTTTTGTTTCAACAAATGCACTAGGGCTTATTTTCAGGGAATTTGTTTTTGTTTTTTAGATTTCTTTTGAATTTTCTTCTAGAACTTCATCATATCTTTCTAAATACAGAATTTTTGTGTGACTCCATTTCCTGTAGAACCATTGGCCCCAGTCTCTCATGTCCAGCAAAAAAGTTTGTCTTAAATGAGCAGCAAGTCTCTCATTCTAGCTGATGATCTTAACAAGGGCTTATTTTTGGGGTAGGGCTTATATTAAAAGCATTCTGAAAAACTGTGCTAGGGCTTTTGTGGGGTGGGGGGGGTTCTTATTTTCATGGAAGCACAGTTTTTTTTTTTCAAGGCCAAGTCAATATTGGCATCCAGGCCACTGCTTTATTTTAATCCCTACCACAAAGGACATTCAAATACAGGTCTAGCAGGTAGGCATAACTACATGATTACTTTTTTTTAAACTGCCTAAAATTTTAACTCTTTTACTCCCAGACAGGTATTATGTTAGATCTGTATACAGTGCAGACCACTTAGGGTGATCTCAGATGTGGATAATTTATGTTGCCAAAAACAAATTGTTTATCCCCAGCAATTTTTCTTGCTTGAATTCCTATCTGGATAAGAAATTTGAACATCTCTTTGGTCCTGGCGAGTTCTCCTTATTGGATCTACACTGTATTTTTTTAACTTGTCACGTCTGAAGGATGTAAACTAATTACACCATAAAACAGGAATTAAAGTAACGATTGGAATACAGTGATTTTTCTTCTTCTTTTATTCACTTGAAATGCACTGTTTCTATCTACATTGTTGTCTTTTCTATTAAAAAAATGTGTAGGTCATTGACATTTAGTTTTTTTAGATTTGGGGCAGAGTGATAATATTTATTTAAATTAAGGAGTCAAGTGTCAGAGGGCAAACTATTTATATATTACTGACCTTCAATTGGTGGGACTGTTCTTGTGCAAGCTGATGAGCAGCCTCTACAGCAGACAGCCTGTCTTCATATCTGTGCCGATCTTCTGTCAAGGATGCCAGTCTAGATCTCAAGTTGTGTAGTTCAGTTTCCATCTAAGAAAAATTAAGCTGGTCTTGGTCAATTAAATGACAAACAACCATTGATTTTATAAAGGTACTTTCATTTCAGATTGTCATAGGGTTCCCATTTCATTCATTCATTATCCTTTTGTGTCATAATAGGTCACAAAGGCTCACAGTCTATTCCTCTGTTCTGTTCTATCCTGTGTAATAAGTTTGATATCATGGATGGAATCCAGTCCAGCAGCTTTGGTCTTTCTCATCAACGTTCTGCTTAGGGTTTCTTTTGGACGTCCTAGCCTCCTTAATTCCTATATCTCCCATTTTAAAGACCGCTGGTTAGAGAAAACGACACACACACACATCGTGTAACTGACTCAGAAAGCATGCTGAGCAAGGTCAGAACAGGCATGATTCATGCAGAGTGGCTTGCTTCACTGTGGAGGACACGGGTGAGGAGTATTGTCTGGATTTTTTCTCCGGGAGATGCGGGTGTGTTGGGAAATGAACAGGCGGGCAGACTGGCTGGCTCTGCACAACTTGGTGGAATACTGATGCATGATAAGGCAGACGTGGTTAGTGCCTTGTGGGAGAGTGTGTACAGTTCGGAGGAGCAGATGGATCGCCACAGTCTGGTGATATTGATGCAGTTGGGTGTGAGGAGGGATTCTGACAAATGCTCGAGGCTCAGAGGAAAGGCAAGGCGGACGTTTTTAATCAGAATGCTACTGGCACCATTAGTATCAGAACTCTGCGCTGGCTGCTGAAGTTGGGGACAGAGCGCTTATGAGAATGCTCGAGTGCAGTAATGTCAGTTCTTGAATCAACTAAACTCAACTCATAACTGTCAATACCAGTGGTTGCCTAGACATTTCTCTTATTTCTTCACTCCTTTTGAATTTATCCTATTTTATTTTCATCATTTTCCTCATACATTTGTTTCTAATTGCATTAATCTTCAATTCCATGTCTTTGGTGCTGCTTCCTATTTCACTTGTGCATGTTAAAATTGAAAAAAAAAAGATTAGAATTATCAATATGGAATTTAATTTTTTTTTTTTTTGTAAACTATATAATTTAGAGTTCTATATTTTGCTCAAGCTATTAAAAGCTGCTGATGCCTTGCCAGTGTCTGTCATCATTTCAAGGGTTCACATATTCTATGTTAAATTATGGGATAGAGAGACTGATCCTCTCTGGACCCAATCAGGACCTAAGGTTGTGTAGTTAAAATTCCATCACTTATCACACTAGAATCAATCCTAAATGCACTGTTTCCAATTAGCTAAGATGTTCAGACCCTTCTAATTATCAAAGGTCTGCAAATGATGTCATACATTTAAATAATCATACTGAAGAACATATTATAATATATATATAGGAATCACAAAAAAAGATTGTGTTCTAAAATTGAGGTATTTTTGTGTTTGTTTTTAAAAATGACATCACAGGCTCTATAAATTTGTTGTGTGAAACACCGGGCTCTGCAGAACATCAAATGGGAAAGGCTGCCATACTAGAAAACAATTACTGCTACCAAGGTAGCCACTTCAGACTGTCTCATCACATAACATGTGTTAAACCATTATGGAAGCACATAATTCTGTTGAACATGCATTACATACACTGTGTTAAACCATTATTGGAGCACATAATTCTGTTGAACATACATTACATACACTGTGTTAAACCATTATGGAAGCATAGAGTTCTGTTAAACATACATTACATACACTGTGTTAAACCATTATTGGAGCACATAATTCTGTTGAACATACATTACATACACTGTGTTAAACCATTATGGGAGAATAAAGTTCTCCTGAACATATATCAAATATACAATGTTAAACCATTATGGCAGTACACAGTTCTGTTGAACATGTATCACATACACTATGTGCTGTATGCTAGATGGGCTATTAGAATGTGTGCTAACAGGGCTATTAGCATGCACTTATGCCAAAGGTCAGAGGGTGTGACAGTGTACATTAATATTCATAATATGAGTGATCGAAGTGAGCGTGGATACTTGGGTCACTGAAAGAATGTGGAAGTTGTGTGAAATTTATGAATTCCACAGGTATAGCCAGACCCATGTGAAATTTACCATTGGTAGATTAATCCTGTGGTAATCTGATTCAATAGCCTTCAGTCAATGAAAGAGATTGGATGTGTGTTCATGTTGTATGACAGTTTTAATCATGTGTTTTGTTCTTTTCAAGCGCCTGAACTGTCTAGCTCAATCTGGTGTATTAGAAAAGGGAGTTCTGAATGTTTTAAGTGTAGATATTCATTAGAGAACAGAGTAAGTGTTGGCCCATGTGTGGTGGGATCAGCACTGGTGCATCTATGTGTCATGCTGGTTGACTTGCGGTAACTGTGTGTTGATCAGTGTAAGGTTGCGATGGGAGGTGTCAGGAAATACCCCCAGGTGTGACAAGGTATCGAACAAGGTTCTGGATTTTATTCACCAATCTGGTGCAACTAATCTAAGTTCTCAGATGGTGGAGTCTCTTGGCTTAGATAGAGAGTCACCAGAGGACAGTTACCGCCATCAGTGAAAGATGGATTCTATGCAATTGACGGGAGTTGCCCATAGTAGCCATTGGGACATAGAGTGCAAGGGTGCATTGTGTTCTGTCTGGTTGTGGAGAATAGAGAGAACCGTTAAGACTTTGTGCCGATCTAGTGTGCTAGCAGAGCATACTTAAATCAAACATGTGTTTCAGGTGCGAACCTTGCAGGTTACAATCTTCGGTGCTTTCATAATAAGTCACCCCAAACAGACAGTACAATACTTCAGAGGATGGTATATAGGCTGCATGCAGTTGTGGGACCTAGGCTGCATGCAGCTGTGGGACCTAGGCTGCACTCTCTTATGGGATGTAGGTGGGGGTTGGTGTTATGTCTGGTACAAGACGTTTTGGGGTAGTTAAAAGCACCACAGAGCTGGGAAACCCAGTCTTACCACCCTATAAAATATTGGACTGTCCCTGTTACGTCATCTGGGGTGACATTACGAAAGAACCCAATCTTCAAGTTATGGAGACTAGGAATTTTTTGGACTCTGTGCCGGCAATTATTGAGCAAGTGATCTTTTAGTTGAATGAGAGCAACTGAGAGACTACTTGTTCATCTTACTTCATCATGATCATGTGTTCGTTCATAATAAACAAGGCTGACAGCACTAGAAAATTATACCTTGAGTTATTTATTACAGTTTGGTAGGCACTTAACTAGTGCAGGTAGTTGCTGGTGATCTCACTAGACTTAATTAGTGCTAAACCCAGAAAGGAATGGCCTTAATCATAAACCCCCTAGATACTCGGTAGTTAGTGGAATGGGATACACAGTAGTGTGATATCACCACCTATTTCACAACACTACGTCAAACCATTATGGAAGAAAAATGTTCTGTTGAACATAAATACACATGCTATGTTAAACCATTATGGGATCATAGAATACTGTTGAACATACATCACACATAATATGTTAAACCACTAGGGAAGCATAGTGTTCTGTTGAACATTCACCATGTTAAGCCATGATGGGAGCACAGAGTTCTGTTCTTACCTTCTCAGCCATGGTTCTAGCATCTCTGTAATCTTTGTCTAGGTCCATCCTAACAGACTTCAGCTCATTCACTTCAATATCTTTCAGTCTGAGCTGTTCATCTTGAGCTGCTCGAACAGCCTGATGACATAATCAATGTAAAATATATGCTATAATTCAGCTAAATACATCCTAATTATGTGAAATACACATTATTTAAGACTGCTTTGTGTTGATTTTAACTAGGTATTGAGCATCAGCCATTCTTCTCCTTCTGCTGCTACTGCTGAATATATTGCATCATTAAAGCCACAGTCTGTATATAAACTATTCAAAGTCAATATTTTCTAGTTTAAAGCAAGGTGATGCTCTGTCTCCACTTCTTTTCACCTTGGCCCTGGAGAAAATTATAAGGAAATTGAAACAAGTGTGTCCTTTAAGAGAAACTAAAAGAATACTAGTTATGCAGATGACATTGATATTGTTGGAGAAAATTAACTACAGACTGTAAAAATACTGACTCTTAAAAGAAGCAGCTCACAAAATGGGACTAGTTATCAATCAAAATAAGGCAGAATGCATGACAATAACAAGACAGGGAAAGGATAGAAACTCTGGCCACATACCTAGTCGATAACATGAAAATCAAAAGATCAGAAAAATATAAGTATTTGCGTGCAAACTTCAACTGCTCCGACATGCTGAGAGAAGAAATACAAACTAGAATACAATCTGGAAATAAATTATACTATGCCCTTCAACATTTGCTAAAGTAAAAGTCTCTATCTCGCAACACCAAGATCAAAATATATAACATGTTGATAAGACCATAGTTTTATATGGCTCGGAAATTTGGAGCACAACTAAGAGAGATGAAGCCTCAATAAAAAATGTTGAAAACAGAGTCTTATGATGAATCTTTGGGACCCATCAAAGATGCAAACAGCGGGGAATGTAGAGTGAGAAGCAACAACGAAGTTCATAATCTGTTTAAATCATCACTGATCACTGGCACTGGGAAGAGAGGAAGAGGAAGGCCAAGGAGAAGATGGGTGCAGGATGTGGCAGATGATCTCCAGATGGGTGTATCAGACGCAGGACATCTTGCTCATGATAGGAAGGTTTTCCGGAGGGTTGTTATGGCAGCGAGGTTCCGCGAGGGACATGCTACTGAATGAATGAATGATCACTGGCATCATGAGATCTAATTGGTTAAAAAGGCAGGGGCATATTGAGAGAATGTCAAATGACAGAGAGGTAAAAACTGTATACACAAATGAGCTAAATGGTCGTAGACAAGGAGGCAGACCAAGAAGACGATGAAGAGATAATGTCCAGATATACCTGCAAACACTTGGTGTCACAAAATGGAAAATCTGCATCAATAAACCTAAAAGGCTCTGAACGCTGAAGAAAAAGAAGAAAAAGAAGAAGAAGAAGAAGAAGGAGAAGAAGAAGAAGAAGAAGAAGAAGAAGAAGAAGAAGAAGAAGAAGAAGAAGAAGAAGAAGAAGAAGAAGAAGAAGAAGAAGAAGAAGAAGAAGAAGAAGAAGAAGAAGAAGAAGAAGAAGAAGAAGAAGAAGAAGAAGAAGAAGAAGAAGAAGAAGAAGAAGAAGAAGAAGAAGAAGAAGGAGAAGAAGAAGAAGGAGAAGAAGAAGAAGAAGAAGAAGAAGAAGAAGAAGAAGAAGAAGAAGAAGAAGAAGAAGAAGAAGAAGAAGAAGAAGAAGAAGAAGAAGAAGAAGAAAGTAAATATTCTGTATGTAATGTTCCATTTGTATATTCTTTCTTTGAAATTTTGTTCAGCACTCTATAAAAACCTAGAGCCTCTAAGTGATAAACTAACCCAAAAACTTATAACTTTTGAATTTGTTAGGAAATTAAACAAACTGTTAAATATTATTCTAAACTTTGGATATTCACTGCTCTTGTGGCTGCAAAACCAAGGTAAGTGAAGCATTTTTTGGGGTAACATTTTGTCTTTGTAAACATAAAACCTGCTGATTTCTTTTTTTTTTTCTACTAACTAGAAAAAGCATGTACATATCACCAGATTCAAAATGTACATTCATTTCTCTTTAATAAAAAAATATATATATATATCTTTTGGGGATAGAAATATATTACATTGTCCATTGCATTTTTTTTTAACACAACCCCCTCTGCCGTTTTTTAGAAGGAAGTTGATGCCAGAAAAGTCAAAATTCATAGGACTGAAAGAATTAAAGAGGGTTTTCACTTCCAGCTGGTAGATTTGTGGTTTTCTGCTGCCTTCTTTGGCTAAAGCGTCAGCACTTTTATTGCCTTTGATGCCACAATGAGAATCCAGTGCAGGTGAGTTTCTGCCTTTGTTGACAACATAGCAAGTTCCTTTTTGAGACTCAGTAGAGTCCTGACTGTAACTTTGGCCTCTAAAGGCTCTATGGCTAATGGTGAATCTGTCAGAGAAACCATCTTGCCTGCAGGAATTTCAGCTTGTTCATATACTGTACTGCCATCAGTAGGGCTGAAAGCTCTGCAGTCCAGTTGGAGCAAGTTCGTCTGGTGGGAGCTGCCAGGGACATAGTCGTGGCATCTTGGTGTTTAATGTAAAGATCTGCTCCACCACTGGAGACAGTACACTGTCCTGTGGCACTCCTGCTCTGAACTTGAACCTGAGACTGTGCACTCCATTTAGTTTTATGGATGCTCGCCTCTGGGATATGAAGTCTTGTATCCAATAGTATATTCTGCCTTTTATTCTACTGCGTAAGAGCTTTGGCAACAAGTCATCCTTCCATATTTTGTCTTCATACCAGCCAGTCAGACTGCTTCTAACACTTCTTGCACATCTGCGATTTTGAAGGATAGTTTGTCGTGTTCTGTAAGTTTACACTGATTTTGTGTGTGTGCATCCCTGTAGCAACCAAAAATAGTAGGAAGTAGGAAAAGGAGTAGAACCATGTGCCAGAGGCGTCTGAAAAGCTTCTATCAGCCTTGCTTCCCAAAAAACAAGTGTTAGGACTTTTTTTATCTTCATCCATTAAAACAATCACTAACATTTTTCAAGTTAATCATGTTTGTTCCTCAGTTTTTAAAAAACAATGCATACACAAATTATGCAAATCAGAACATCTAATGAAAATAAATATTGAGATTTTAGTTTGATTTATAAAGAATGAGTTAGTTCATTCAATTTTCTACGTAAATATATATATATATATATATAGATTATATAAGTTATTTAAACTTTTTGTTAAAAAAATATGATGTGACAGCAAGACAGTTCCCAACTGTCTGTGTGTCTGCCTGTCTGTCTGTCTACCCACCCACCATCCATACATCCATCCATCCGTCCCTCTGTCCGTCAATCTAATCTAATCTAATCTAATCTAATCTAATCTAATCTAATCCATCCGTCCGTCCGTCCGTCCGTCCGTCCGTCCGTCCGTCCGTCCGTCCGTCCGTCTGTCCGTCCATCCATCCATCCATCCATCCATCCATCTATCTATCTATCTATCTATCTATCTATCTATCTATCTATCTATCTATCTATCTATCTATCTATCTATCTATCTATCTATCTATCTATCTATCTATCTATCTATCTATCTATCTATCTATCTATCTATCTATCTATCTATCTGCATGCTTGTCTGCCTGCCTGTCTGTTGGTATTTGTGTGCTAGCACAGGCACCACTCTTATCCCATGTGGATGTTCTAGTGTCATTCCCACAACCCAACCCTGGTTACACCACATTGGCTAACCCTTCCCTCCCCCATTTGGACACTCAGTGTACACTGGTGTGTCTGTTGGCATTAACTCCTATCATCCAGTTATACTGACCAATTTTTCGCTTACCGTCCACACTGTGGCGACTTATAGGTTAGTACCTGTCCATGTTGAATGAGTTTTTTTCACCAGTGATACAGATCATTTTTTAAATACATTATAGTCCTATGTAGTCACTTCATAGTTAGTGCATATTTGTGTTTGTGTGCTGTGTTGTTCTTTATGTGCTGATGAAGGCTAATCGCCGCAATGTCCTTTTTTATTTTGATCGATTTTATAAAGCTGACATAACCTATTTGTTCTTTCTTACCCCTTTTCTTCTCTTCCCTATAATTTCCTACCCTTTTTAAAAACCAAAGAAAATATGGACTGACGACATTAAAGACATTCTATATCATCTCAGAATAGCAACAGCCAGTGTTGAACATCAAGCAATAGGTCTCAAAATGCAAACCCACCCCCGACACTCAATAGCAAAAACTTGAAATTGGTGATGGTAGTCATGATAGATCCCAGCCTAAAACAAGTGCAAGAATTTTAATACTTGGGAAGTATCTTTACATTCAATGGTAAAATAGACAGAGAGATCGAAGCAAGAATCCAACAAGCCAACAATGTCACATACCAGCTTGCCCCAATTTTAAAACATCCTGCTGTCCCAGCTGAGATAAAAAGACAAATTATAAATACAATCTTTATACCGACATTAGGTTATCAATGTCAGACTTGGACATTAACAAAAGAACATGAGAGAAGACTAACCACCTGTGAAATGAGATGTTTGAGAATGGCTGCGAATAAAATCAGAAGAGATCGAGTGAGAAACACAAGAACTATTGGAACCATACCCATCGTTAAATTTATTGAGAAGCAAAGAATGAAATGGTTTGGTCACCTAATGAGAATGGAACCAACGATGCCAGCATCAAGAGCATACAACATGAAAATTGAAACACCAAGAGGCAGGGGAAGACCAAGAAGAAGATGGATTGAAGGAGTCACCGACAACTTGAGACTTCATAACATCACGGCATATGAAGCGACTGAACGCGCCCTGGCTCGGTTGCCGATCATCTGATAGACTGCAACGCCTAGCGGCACAAGCAGATTTTGACAAAATAAGAAGAAGTCATGATAGTGATGAATTATAATAATGTGAAATCCACACCAGAATTCAGTGAAATACAAATATATGAAAAATACACTAGAATTCAGTGAAATACAAATATATGAAATATACACTAGAATTCAGTTAAATACATGATGGTTTGAAGTTTGAAGAATGGATCAACATCATGGCACACAGGTAGTAACCCATAAGTGCTCAGTTCCTCTTCTAACTCAAGTCTGAGTCTGAAGAATCTCAGTGCAGTACACAAGCTCTGTAGCACCGGTGAGGATCCTAAATAAACACATGATCAAGAATTATTCATAATTTTTTTAAATACATGATGAAGAATTATGAGAACAAGCAGGAAAAAATAAGTGATGGTAACTGAAACTCACAAGTGCGTCTGCTAGTTCTCTCTTGAGACTCTCAATCTGAAGTTGGTAGTAGTTGCCATGTTGCTTTTGACCTTCCATTTCCTTCACCAGCTGTTCATGTCGAGACAGCATCTGGCCTGTTCCATATTTTTGTCGATCAAGATCTCTCTCAAGCGACTTTACCTTGGTTTTCCATCTTTGATTGAGAAAAACAATAAAGAACTATATCCAATGCTGTAGAAGTTTGACACAGAGGAAATAAGTAAAAAAAAAAAGGTAAAGGACCCTTTTCCACACCTTTAGCCGTATGGGCATATAGGGCTAGATCTATATTTTTAAAGACCAATTGGCACAAGATGGGCGGTGTGGTCAGCATCACGCCGGTCACCTTTACTTCCAAGGACTGCACCTGGTACCCACTCAAGGCTTGGTCAACCTGGGAGCCAAGGTCAGTTTTGAAAAAAAGTCCGGCTCCGCCAGGGAACAAACCCACAACCTTCCAATCGGCAGCCGTTCCGCCATGACGACTCCCTACAGAGGTAACGGTCTAGGTAAAAATAAAATCTCAGTACCTAATTATTAGACATAAAGTGCACAAGGTAGGAAAGGATAGGACCACATGGCATGATCTGGCCGAGAACGATTCCACAAAGGGGGATAAGGAAAAGGTTATATATATATTTTTTTTAAATCTAACTCTTGAGATATGATGCTACCATCATAGCACATCAACTGCAGCTACAGGTTGATGTGACCTTAAAACAAGTTCAGTTTACTGAACTTATCATCAGTCATACCATTTTTTTGTAAATTTTACAACATCAATAACAAATGATGTACACTCCAGCATTAAACTGCAATTTCATAGGAAACAGAAAGCCAGATGGTGATGACACAAATCAAGACAATAATTGTGATGATAATAATGATGAAGACAATAACGGTGATGTAATAATGATGACAAAATTAAGCTTGTTCTGCTTTTTCAGTGTTTGCTCTTAAAAAAGGATGATTGGCACATTGTGTTGTAGTTACCTCAGGGCTGCGACATCTGGGCCTTTCTGCCCAATGCATAAAATTTCGTCTCCTTTTTCAGTCACCTTTTAAAACATCGCCTCCCCCCCCCCCCCATCCCATTCCTAAAAGGGGGTCCAGAACCCACATGGGGGTAACACACAGCAGAATTTGGATGCTCAAACATTTTTAATTCCATTTTTTTGTTTAATATTTAGCACAAATTAATTATAACATGAAATAATGAAATGTAAGACAGAGGAGAAGAAATAAAACTATATAAACTGAATATAATTAAACTATACTAATTTCTTACTGTCTGACAGTCTCCTGTGCTCGGCATTTGACCTCATCCAACTTTTTCTCACTGTTTGTTAAAGCCACTTTTGTACTGTGCAGCTCATGCACAGTTTTCTCCAGCTCTTTTGTTGCATTATTTAGTTTCTTTTGTGCATCTTCAAGTTGCTGGCTAAGAAAATTTCTCTGTCTGTCTGAATCCTCAAACTTATCAGTATATTCTTTGAGCTGAGTGATAACTTTGGCACTTTGCCGTTCTCTGTTGTCCAGGTCTTTTGATAATGTCTGGGGGAAATTTAAAAATGTAGTACTGATAACTGAGATAAATCATGCTTCCGCTATTCACAGTAGATACATGAGAATAGCACACTAAGAGTCAGAGAGCTCACAAGAACAAAACTTCAAGTGTTGTCCATACCTTGTACACCAAACTATACACTTCTTGTAGATCACTTGTTATCTCTTACAAATAATTTGTACACACTTTTACACTGGGGTCCATAGAACACTTGAATGCCAGTTTCCCCTTCAGGTCTCAGATATATGCTCTCAAAATATGCACTCCTGTGAACACTTGTTTAACCTGCCTATATTTTCTCATAGGCTTCACATCTCTCAAGGATTCACACCATTGGATGAGTGAGCTTTGTCTAACTGGGATTCTCTCTCAACCTGTATATAGTCAAATGGGTTTTGTCAGGTTTTTTTTTAAAATCTATGTGTGTATATATATATATATATATAGTAAAGGACCCTTTCCACGCCTTTAGGCATATAGAGCATATAGGGCTAGACCTATATTTTTATAGACCAACGGCACAAGATGGGTGATGTGGTCAGCATCACGCCGGATATATATATATATATATATATATATATATATATATATATATATATATATATATATATAAAAAACAATGTTTGTGTGTTTGTTTGGTCTCTATAGACTCGGAAACTACTGAACCGATTTAGCTGAAATTTTCAGGATATGTTTGTTGTGATACCGGATTTTGAACCGTCGTGGTTTGAAATTCAACCTGTCACTGTTAGAGATAGGTGACCACAATTTATGCCAAAATATACGCAACTAATATTTATAACTTTAGTGATTTCTAATTATAGCCACGTTAGTAATTGCGCATGCGCCGTATTTACCATTCGCCGGCGAGTTACGTGCAGCCAACGCCTTCTCTAATACTAATACATAGAGTAGGTCGTGGTATAGCAAACAAGACTATCTCTATATTTGCCACAATAACCATATTAAACACGATTTCTATTTTCTTTTTTTTTTTTCAAACAACCTTCGATGGGGGGAAGGGGGGGGGGGGGGGGCAATCAAGGACTATCTCGACGTCAGCGCAGACATTGACTGCGTCATTAACTTCATTAGACAGGTGCGATTTCCATTGTCTTTCTTTTCTAAAAACCTTTGATGAGGGAGAGGGTACTAGGTGGATTTAGTTGTGGGGATGGGGGGGGGGGGTCAAAGACTATCTCAAATTACGCCACAGCAACGCGTGGCCGGGTACAGCTAGTATATATATATATATAACAGAAGTGTCACCAGATAAAAGATATCCTTTTTGTTTCCAACAACCAGGCAGGTTCTAAACCCTTCTCATGAATACTCTAACTTGCTATTCATGTAAGTGAAAATGGAAAGAGTGAATAGATCTTAATCTTCTAGAGAAAATGATGTAGCAAGGAGTGACTAGAGGATCTGACCAACACTCAATGCTCAGAGAAATGTCAAGATAGACATCTAATTTGACTGCTACTGGCACCATCAGCACTGGAATTCTGTAGATGCTTCTGAAGATGGGGATGGGTCAGTTACAGAAATGTCCTGAGTATGGACTCAATTCAAGAGAGAACTATGCAGTGGGGAGTGACCAGAAGTCTGGCTAACACAAGAGAGAACTATGCAGTGGGAAGTGACCAGAAGTCTGGCTAACACAAGAGAGAACTATGCAGTGGGAAGTGACCAGAAGTCTGGCCAACACAAGAGAGAACTATGCAGTGGGAAGTGACCAGAAGTCTGGCCAACACAAGAGAGAACTATGCAGTGGGAAGTGACCAGAAGTCTGGCCAACACAAGAGAGAACTATGCAGTGAGGAGTGACCAGAAGTCTGGCCAACACAAGAGAGAACTATGCAGTGGGAAGTGACCAGAAGTCTGGCCAACACTCAGCACTCACAGGCAAAGAAAAACTAATAGACTGCTGAGAGTAAAGAGCTTATGGAAATGCTACAGTCTAGCTCTTAACCCAGCTCATCTGTTAAGGAAAGCTGAAGCATTTTAAAAGCAGCATGATGAAGATGTCAGTAAGCTGTGTCATTGATCTTTGAATGATCTGCTTGCAGATATTGATGGGTTAATTTGTTATTTCATTGTTAACCCAGTGAGTGCTGTTCTAGTCAGGATATCTTTGTGTTTACCCTATTACCAGCCTCCAGACTTGGTTCTGAGTCTCTGGAATAGTGAAGGTAAACAAAACAGATATCAATAAGAACAGTCCTCAGAATTGGGTCTCTAGAGATCTGCATACACAGAAGAATAAATTGTATTTCATTGAAACAAAAACAGTCACATACAAAGATTCTGAAGAGACTATGAATAATACCTCTCTCCATCTTTTACAATCACAACATGTATGTACAACTAGTTCTCAAGCCGGGTGAAAGCTACAGTGACTGCCTTTATATCCATTCTGAAATGAGATGTTGTATCATATGCTAGGATTTTTTTGCACTAAGTAATATCCACTCACTTTTGAAATGAATCCCTATGTATTTCTTCTGCTTCTCAACACAGAGCCATCAGTACTGGTAATCACATGAAATCGTCACGAATCAGTTACTAAATGTCCGATCCTGCAGTGCTGCAGTGTCCACTGGCCAATCCCTACACTCCTGGCTTATACTTTCCAAGACTGTGGTCCTTAGCTGTATCCAGAGCTACATGAAGGAGATATTCTTAGCCAGCGGCTACTCACAGCAATGTAACGATGGCTACAGACATCTTTGTGTTCACCAATGTGAATTCCGATAGAAAGTCATAGCTGTTCATTCATCTGGACTTTGGCCTTGTGCCAGGACCTGAGTTTTACATGTACATCCCTTTTCTGGCTTACTCCCAAGTTCGATAACAATATCCCTTTCACAGAGGGGGTCTCTAGCCATTAGCCATTGCACAAAGGCAAAACACATGTTACATTTCCTCAGCAACTGGAAATCACAAAGTGTGGCCATATAGCACAAAACTCTAGAAACATTTCACAATGAGCTAATCCAGTCACAATATAATATTTATACTATTTGTGGATATTATGCGGTGTCCATGGCTTAGACGTTGCGAGTCCAACTCGTAATTCCAACATACCGTAATCAAAACCCACTGCTGACTGCGTGGATTTTTATCATGGTATGGGGCGTTGCAGGTCGACCCAGCCTGAAATGGGTACCAGGATGGATGTCCTGGGAAAGTAAAGATGGCCGACGTAGTGCTGACCACATTACCCACTCAGTGCTGATTAGTCTGTAAAAATATGGGGTGCTCTTTCCATATGCCCAATGCATCTAAAGGCGTGAAAAGGAATCTTTACTTTACTTTGTGGATACTGGCCTCAGATTATGTTTACCAAGGAAAGAACCTCCTTGTATGTGACCTTAAGAGAGAGAATGCAATGCAAAGGGATCGTTTTTCAGTAAACATGCTATCAATTAATCAACTAAGACATCTGATGTATAAAGAAAACCTCAATATGGTCTGACAGCTGTGCTCTTTGTCTTTCACTCTTGTCCAGTTTCCTCCTCAAGTCCTCAACCTCAGTGACGGCAGACACGGACCTCGTCAGGTGGGCCCTCATGTCCTGAAGTTCTCTCTCTAAACTCTGGGCCTTGCTTTCTTCAGCTGAAAGTCATGTGAAATACATTTAGACACTGACCTAGATGTAATTTTGAATGAATAAAGAAAACAATTCAGTTGCATGTCCTTTATCAGATGTGGCAGAACTAACCCTAGACATTTTTGGTTGTTTGTGATTTTACTGGGCAACTTTACACTCAGTAATCTGCTACTGCTTTCTGAATGATCAGTTCTGGACACCACTGTGGAAACCAATGTAACTAATGTGTAATCTTTTTATTCTTTCTTTATTGCTAAATGTTGAGAGACAGTGAATGGTCACATGCACATACTTACATGATTCATTTCTGCACAACAGAACTGGGGTTCAGTATAGTAATTTGGAATTCTGTTCCCCTCATCTAATAAAGATATATCGCTTAAAATATTTGTTACCATTTGACCCAACATCCACTGTACCAAAAGCTTTGGATAGACAAGTGCACAGGGCAGAACATTAGCCTTATCCTAGCACGAGGAAAGGAAACCTAACAGAACAAACTAGGCCCTTTGCCTTGGCTGGCAGCTGGTACAGGAGGGAGGCTCAGACAGGTGAATTGCTGATTCTTCCCCCTGTGAAATGCTGGTTTTTCTTGGAATATCAAACATTTCATCTGGAACAGAAATAAATAAATTACAAAATCTTGGTGTCTTTTAAGTCCAAGTTCGTTCTAGTATAAAAATTTTTTTTTTAAAGTTGATCACATTCCAACTGCTGCTGGTAGTTTTGCTAATATTATTAGGCTAAAATTGTGTGCCAGGTTGCTGGCTTTGTGTCACACACCCAGATAAATTGTCCTCTCCTGCTTGTCTAAGTTCCATTGCGAACCTGTTTTTCATAGTTTCCATGTGTTATCTTCTGACCAGGTAAGTCTCCCTAATGTATTTTGCCTGTGTGCTCTAATATATGGTCCAGAGTCCGTTGCCTTATAAGTCTTCAAAGTAAAGATACAAAAAGCTGGATTGAAACACACACCTGCCCTTCTTCTGCGCTGCTCCCTAACCTCAGAGTCTATGTGGGATTCATCAAGGTCAAGTCTTAGTCGATGTTCTGCTCTAGCCAGCTGCGATTTCAGTTGCTCCACCTGAGACTGTAGAGCTGAACGATTCCCTTCTGTCTGATCTAACCTACGCCGAACATTTTCAAGCTCACTTTCAATCTGTTGAACAAACAACATTAAAAACCTAATAAGTTTGTATCTGTACTTTGTTAAAAAGAAAATTTGGCTTGCTCTTAATGTTGTTTTGACATGTCAGCGTGTTCAGTACCAGGCAACTCCCCATTTATATTGATACACATATGGAGACACAGGATCAATGCTACAAGAAAAACTATGAGTGACTAGTAGAGAAATAGGTTTAATTATTTATGTTGGAATGGACGCATAGCAAAGAACTGATTGCCAAAAAATGAACAATATAAAATGTGCTGATATCACAAGTTTACTGTAAAAGAAAAAAAACGTACACTTCCATTTTTTTCAGCATTATTGAAATAGGCATCCTATTAAAGCAAGTATTATGCTATATTTTAACATATTTACAAAAATCTATAATGAACTATCACAAAGAAGAAACATGTCTTCACATAAAATATTACACTAAGTTTTAACATGTTTACATAAATGTGTAGTCAACAATGATAAACAAGAAATATGTTGCTATAGCAAGCAATACATTTTTAACTCTTTGAGTCCCAGGGGGTTTAGCATCGCAGGCTCAATGGGTAGTAAAGAGAGACTAAAATGACACATCATGTGTTTATTGGGCTTCTAGATAAGAACCTATGAACGTATGATGTGTTTCCTGGGACTCAAAGAGTTAAAATCTGTAGTCAGCAAATTAAAAAAAAACTATTAAAACATATTATTACAGAAAATATTAACAGTAAACTTAAAAGTGTTTACACAAATCTGTTTTCAATAATTATTGTTTCATCTGTCGTTCATTACTTCTCTCTGTTTACCTTGTGCCTGTTTGCTTCAGACTGCAGGTACTGACTTCTGATCTTCTCCTCAATTTGACTGCTTGCCTGAGCTGACTGAATCGCATTTCTCAGTTCATTTGACAGGGTTGTGTAGTCTCCATGGCTATCGCGATCAGCACCAAGTCTTTCAGCCCTGATTTCTGACTGAATAGCTTGTAATCTCTTCTCAACTCTTGCTGAAAGCTGTGTCAACACGGATAAATATTTCATATGAGGTAAAATGGAATATGAAAGGTACATTCAGTACAATGAAAATATAATGGTGAGGATAATTCACATGGCAGATTCACCTGGGTTCTTCTGGGTAAAGATTTTGACATCATTCACGACAAGCCGACATTAGTTCCATCTCCCTCCTCAACAGCTAGCGAAGAGATTCTATATTGCCCTGTCCGCTCATCCTGCCCCAGGCCACTGACCAATTAGTATATATAATCACATCTCTGCAAGGTCACTAACAACAACAACAGCCATCTAGTGAGAAAGCAGCCAGACCAAACTGCAGATGATACTTTTTACAGCAGAACATCTCAGAGGAAGGCAAGAGAAAGACTAAAAAAGATATGGATAAATGGTGTAGCTGAAACCTGCAAAAAAGATGAAAAAATCCATCACCCAAGCCACCCGAGAAGTGCAGAACAAATAAAGAAAACTACAACACTGGAAAACAACCTGGTATCAGTGAGATGGCCAAAAAAAAAAGAAGAGGATCTCCTGGCCACACAGTTGCATTCTTGTCTCAAGATATTTACCACTTTGTGCAGTGCATCTCACTCCATGGCAGACTGGTCTTGTTTAATATATCATTCATTTCACATTGGTGTTGTTTTCCATATTACAATTATAATATATAGCAGATATATAGCTGTGAATAGACCTTCACATATAGTAGGTGATGGCATTAATTATATATGGTAATTTATTTGCTACTTCAAAGACTGCAACTATATCTTCTTCTTACAGTCCATGCCATGTGGTGTCAGTAGTCATATCTATCCACAACCTTCTGTCTCATGTACTTCTATTCAACTCTGACAAGATGATCCTCCATGCCATGATGTCAGACTGCCCAGCATCTTTTCCCTCAGTCTACTTCTGCATCTCCTTCCCTCCAACTAAACTGTCACGATGTACTCTAGTTTTCTCCTTCTCATCACATGACCAAAGAAAGTAGATTGTCTCTTTCTGATGTGGGCAATAGTTCTCTTCGTGAGTTAGATTCTTTCAAGACATCCTCATTACTCTTTTTATCTGTCCAGGGCATTCTCGTCATTCGTCTGTAAAACCACATCTCCACAGCGTCCAAAAAAACTTTCACTAATCTACTAACTGTCCATGATTCACTTCCATTTATCAAGATAGACAACAGCCAGGGGCTGTTGGGGTTGGTTCTGCAACATCCTGTAAAGGTTAAGTGACAAAGAAAGAGTGCATAAAATATTCTTCATTCTGTAACAATATATATATACTGCAGTTTATTTGATAAATATCACATTGTAATTGCATACTGTTTGTTCATTACTAAATTTAGCCTCATAACAACTTTATACATGTGTATTGTTTTGCCAGTTCTTGAATCTCTGCTACAACCATCTTTATTGTACATTTCTAACTGGATCTAGCTGTAATATTAGACAGCTTATTTACTTACCGGATCAAGGCCTGAAACTCCTTTGAGTGTTGTATTCAGGTCCTGGAGAGAACGTCTTGTGTCACTTTCATGTCTGCAGAACAAGATTACATTTAACATAGATCACAAAAACAATGAAACAACAAGATCTACCATTAGTGTATGTGTATGTATGTGCATGTATGAACTTTTATTTTTATAACCAGATTAAAATAAGTAAGGAGAATAGTCTCAGGATGTGCCTAATATAGCGCCACCTTTTTTGTCTTATTACTGTTGATACCAGCAGTTGTCGAGATAATTCTCTTATTTCTTGACTTTTTTTTCTTTTTTTATTTATTCTATTTAATGTTCATAAATTTTCTCAAAGAATTTGTTTTATTTTAATTCAACTTTCACTCCACCGCCCCACTGGTCCACTCATAATATTAATTACTTATTTTTTTTCCCCTGCTATGTAAGGATAACATTTTTTTTTAAAGGGAATGGTTTAAAGGTCAGAGGGTGAACTACTTTCATGATGTTTTTATTCATATTATGTGGTTCTTTCTACAGAGCGGCTTGATACTTCCGATGGTGTTGCACAAATGACAAACTTCATAGATCTGTGGTGACATGCAGGGATCCTAGAAATAATTGCATTCGTGAACCAAACAACACCATCTTAAATTAACAACAACCTTCACAGCACAAGGCAAATGACGTAACCACTCTACCGCTTAAATTCTAAAAATATTCCTGCTAAAAAACAATACCTTCTTTTGATGGTTTGAATACAAGAAAACCAGACCATCTGGACACACTTTATAAACGGTCAATGAAATGGACTGGCCAATGCATTAAACAAACTCCTATGTTCAATCTGCATAGAATAGTGACCTTTCAATGCGATCCATATCTTTATTAAGACTCTCTTCTAACTTCATGTGCTCCGAAGACAAATCCCTCATGGATTGGTGTATTCCATGAAGTTCTTTATTCATGTCATCAGCAAATCTTACTGCTGATCTGCGTCCGTGGCGACCACCTCCCACTGGTGAACCATGGTTTTCAGAGTCACTCTGGAATATACAAGACACAGGTTTCCATTAAGGCTACAGGCATTATGTAACAAAGAAACATGATTAATTCTGGTACTATTCCCAAAATTTTAGAAGCCCTGCATCACTACAATCAGTAGAGGTATCTTGGAGTTGTTGCTGCATCAGAGGATTCATCACACATAGGAATGCTCAATGTGCAGTGATGTCAATTATCTTCTACTTCTTCTTTGCGTTCACCAGCTGTAAACTCTGGCCGAAAGTTCTGGTTGTTTATCCACTTTTAGGCTGCAATTCCGTTCCAGAACCTGCGTGTTGAGTGTGCAACCGTTTTACAGGCAGATGCATTCCCACTTCGAAGGAAGCTCCCAATAAGTTGACTCTTACGACATTATTTTGGGTAGGCAGTGGGTCTATTATTTTTTTCCCCTATAATAGGGCCCGAGAACCCACACTGGGAATGTCAATTATGATAACATAACATTCTATCCTGATTGCTACATTAACTCCTTCTATCTCATGGTGTTATTGTTTTAACTTCTTCAGGCCCAAACATTTATCAGTTAATATAATTACTTCTTCAGGTATCATGATTTAAAGTATCATCTGCTCGTCTATGAAAGAGTTAATTACAACCCTCACTTACTCCATAGTCTCGATCTGTAATATTACTTCTGTGTTTCTCATAGTGGATATCATCCTGAGTTCTGTCTAAATCTCCTCGAATCTGAAACAAAGAAGGGATAATATTTCCAATAGAATATATTTCAGATCGTTCAGCATATACAAGTATGAACAGTAGTTAATACCATGTCATTTACACAGATGGGTCTGTGATTTGCCATGTGAGAAGCTCTTGGGTTTTTACTGCTTAGGTTTGAGTTAGACTTGTTAAGCAAGAGACTGGTGCTATTGCATTGACCACAAGTAGTCTGACTATGTAGGTCATGGCAGTGACCAAAGCAATAATAAAAGCAGATCTTTTCCTGTGCATCCTTTCTCAGTGACTCAGGAAGATAGAGATGGGCTGGGTCAGAAGACAGTGACTGAAGTTGGGGTTGATACAGTTGCATATTTGTGCCAGGGCACACAGGCATGCAAAGAGATGAGCAAGCTGATAGGCTTGCAGGTAAAGCTACTGTGAAGGGTGGAAGAGCCATGGACCAGGCAGATATTTTGAATGCTCTACGAGAAGTAAGACATTTGCGAGAATTAACTGATGACTGTGAATCTGCAACCATGACCAGACTGCAAAAACAAATTTTAAAAGGGGTGTGGTCAGACAAAAGCACTATGCAGGAAGCCAAAGAAGAAAAAAGAAACCAACACAGAACTGGTGTCATGAGCCACTACACGCCGCAGGATTTACTAAAGAGGGGATCTGAGCATTTATGGACTGAATGGCTCAATGTGGGATGAGAATAATTTCTTAACTAACTAACTAACTAGTAGTTAATACCTATTCAAACTATGTTCACTAAACAGAAATGAGACATAATCTCTGACGGTTAATTTATAACAAGGCAAGAATAGTCTAGTACAACCTTACAGAACTATAGAGTGCAAGGGGGCAGTACTTTGTGTAACCCTTTCTTGTGCCCTAATTATAACTTCTTTTCAAGTTCAGAGGGTATCTTGGATTATCCTGTTGGTCTGCCATCCAATATGTGATTTGCACTTTCAGGTAGTAGTCCAGAAGTAACAGAAAAACAAACACAGAAGCAAGTACTATTTCAAGTAACTCATGCTGATGCTGTGTCCTTATCTAAAAAAAAAATCTAATTGAATACAGTCACAAGAAATCACTTTAGGATTACTAATAACATACTTGAGCTGTCATGACAAAAGTATGTCTAATGGGAAACAGCAGTGACAAGTTTTTTTATTCACAGACAAACAATAAACATTTCTGGTGCTGCTTACTACCCTGTACAGGTGTAAAAACTGTTTGTTAAACACAGGTGTGGAGTGTAGAATTCAGGCTGTCAAACAAAGATAGAGAAACTTCCCAGAACCTTTGACAGACCTAAAAGGCAGTCTCTATAGTCACTTTGGAAATACATAAAACACAGGGGCATCCACAAGAAAGAGAATTTTTACCTTACTTAAGTGATAAGCAGTCTATCTGTCACAGACCTCGGGGTGACCTTGATGGTCCGTAGTTCGTAACTGAGCCTATGACAGACAAACTAACCTTTAACACACACTGAACCCGAACGCACACAGAGCACACACGACAATCTTTATTGCAAGTACAGGTAATACAATAGACAGATGACTTCCCGCTGTGTGGCCACCTATTGCCTGGATCCTCTGGCCGAAGGAGCTTTACAATCGCCTCGCTCTCCAGTCCGTTCCACAGGCAATCTCTGGTGCACAAACCACAGCTAGGCGAGATACGCTCTTTTCTATTGTCACACTGACCTACCAAGATGTCACAGCCTCTGTCTAGTGCAGGGTCAGCGTGACAAGGTTAGACATTCTCTCACAGAACATGTACCTAACCGATTTAACTGGTCAGAAATAAATGGACACTCGCTTACTTATTGTGAGATAACACAATACATTATACCAGTTAAATACGCAGCAAAAAATACTATCCTATTCTAACAGAACACTGTAAATAATCTATGCAGTCACTAAAGAAGTATCCTAACCACTAATATCCTATCACTGTCTCGCTAACACGTCTGCTCCGTCTGAAGCCTGCACACCCAATCCCCTGTGTTCTTTCACCTCGTGTCTTTTGACCCGTTCACCTGCTCAGTCCCCAAAGAGGTAATCGAGTTGCGAACTTGTCTGCAACAGAGTTCACTCTTTCTTGTCGTGGCCAAGTGGTTTCTACTGAGCGATAGTTTCACCGTGCAAACAGCACAGACTTGGCCAGTCAAGGCACTGACCTTTGTGTCAACCCTGGGGTGTCACCTGAACACGGTACACCCTACGGTGTGGTCCATTCCGACACTGACTGTACTCACAGGGTTGTGACACTATCCTCTTTGGAAAAAAAATAAAACACTAGGGGCACTTATAAGAAAGATCATCTTTACCTTACAGAATCGATAAGCAGTCTCTTTAGTCACTTTGGAAATACATAAAACACTAGGGGCATCCACAAGAAATATCATCTTTACCTTACAGAAATGATAAGCAGTCTCTTTAGTTTCTTTGGAAATACAAAAAACACTAGGGGCATCCACAAGAAATATCATCTTTACCTTACAGAACTGATAAGCAGTCTCTTTAGTTTCTTTGGAAATACATAAAACACTAGGGGCACCCACAAGAAAGAAAATCTTTACCTTAATTTGTTCAGTACCAACTTGCAATTCATTTTTTAAGTGTTCCCTTATATGATGCTTTTTTTATTTACTTGTGCTCCATTCAGCTGTAACATGAAGTTATCCTATCTCAATTGTTAATTTAACTCCCACTACCCAAAGAAGTATTATTTTAAACTCTTCAGGTTTGAAAAATTAACATTTTAAAAAATCTTTATATCCGCCAGGAATGCAGATAAAAAATTGACATATAGTGGCACAGAGAGTCATTATTCAAATAACGATTCTGACATGAGTAAATCCTAGTACATATTGTTAACCATTTAACCATATAAACCAGTTACTTAGGGAACTCTGTGTCTAAAGTGAGTTGGGGGTTAAGATAGTACTTTGAGCAACAACTGCTTAAACCACCTTCCGAGGAGGTATCAACCAGTTATATAAGGTGATGGTTCAAAGGTTAAAGGTTGAAGTCGAGAGGATTGACTTCATTGGGTTGGGTTTTATGCCAGATGCCTCTGTCTCTCTCTGCAGAATGGCTAGCAGAGTGCAGCGCAGAGCATGAGCTCTGTAGCTTCGGCAAGGATCCCCAAGGATCTCCATAGAAATTGCACTTGTGAACTGAAAGGCGCAGCCGTGGGATGAACCCATGACCTTTAGAGCGCGAAGCAAAGGGCTTGACCACTTTGCCACAGAGACCCCTGGTGAGGGTTCAAACACTGGCTATGCCTTTGCTTTTGTTGTCTGTGAAATCTGCACTTTTTGGACAGAAATATTCATTGTTTTTAATTATCTAATACATCTCACAGTCTGATCTTCTTCAAGGCTGAAGCAATAAAGTTATTCCTTTATACTGTTGTGACCCGTGTGGGTCCTGAGCCCCTAATATATGGAAAACAAGATTAGACCCACTGCCTACCCAAAAGAATGTCATAAGAGTCAACGAATTGGGAGCTTCCTTCAAAGTCAGAGTGCATTTGCCAGAGAGACAAAGAACCAACAGTCTGCTTACAAATTAGTCAGATCTGTCAAACATATGCCCATGCAACACTCAGGTTCTGGAACAGGACTGCAGTCCAAAGTGGGTGAACAACCAGAATTTTCTTCGGAGTTTACAGCCAGTGAACGCGACGAAGAAGAAGATACTGTTGCACAGAAGAGAGTTTTTCCACACACATGACACCCACGATATGAACAAACAGCAGTAAAACATATTAAGCTGCAGGTATTCTCAACCAAAAAGTGTTATCTTCTCTAATAGTTTTAAAGACCCAACAAGATACTTGCACTCACTCTGTCAATGGCAGATCTCCTGTTCTCTCCCAGGGAGACTAGATCATCAAACATTTCATCAACATGCCTTAGGTTCCTATTTGTATCCTGAAATCATGAAGACAAATAAGTAATGGTCTTCGAAGTATCATGTGTGTTTGTATCAGTGTTTTCCTTCTGGTAGTCTGTAGATTCCCAGGTACATGAAACAAATCTATGGGGTCCCTGTGTGGGTTCATGGGCACCACTGTAAGGGGATAACAAGAATAGATACACTGTCTTCTAACAAGCATGCCATAAAGCCAAAGGGATGTTTCCTTTAAAGTCAGAGTTCATCTGCCTGAGAGGTAAAAAACCAACAGTCTGCATACAAATAAGCCAGATATGCAAAATGGATGTGCACGCATCACTCAGGTTCTGCAATAAGACTAAAGTCCAGAGGTTGATGAACAACAAGAACTTTCTGTTGGAGTTTACAACTGGTTAAAGCAAAGAAGAAGGAGATACTGTTGTTCACTGTTTTAAAAAAAAACAATGGCATTAGAAATATAAATAGCTAGATAATCAAAGTTAACACAATTAATTATTAATGACAAGGCATCATTCAATATGAACAGTCAGGCAATCACAGTTGCCAGTCAAGAACAAAGCAAATACATACAAAACAGCTCTATAATTCAAGTGAAAAGCAATGCAATCAAAGTGAAGAGTAAAAGTATGAATGTGATCAGTCAAGTTATGTTAATGTACAACCAAAGAATCAAAGTGAACTATCACATTTTGTAAATGAATTGTCAAGTGATGTAGTAAAACAGAACATCCTTCTAAAAACTGCTACTACTGCCTGTATTTACCAGCTTTTGTAGGCTGTGGAAGGCCTCTGAGCCTGAATTATGGCCACATGGTTAATAGAATCGCCATGGGCTGTGGAGGTGATTATTTTACTTTTGCATCCAACAGAAAACATCCTTAATCTGAGAATTCAAACCTGTGTCACCCGTGTGAGAGCACAGTATTCTTAAACATTCATCCAGCCCCCACCTCAACATTCTTGTAACCTGAGTGATTTGTGAGGTAAATATGTAAAGTCACACAATCATCATAAACAGTGAGGTAATCATTTCAAGTCACACAAAGACTGTGTTGTGAATAAAGAAGTAGTGTACTTAAGGGGAAAAGCAAAGCATTAAAATGATAATTTTATGCAGCGTATGCTGCAGATAAACAGTTCTCTGCCTCCTGTGTCTGGTATGGGGACTGATTCTTTCCCATTCGGCATACATGTCGAAACCATTGTTACTGTGACTGGTCAACTCGAGTTTGTAAAGTATGGGTTTCATCGTCATGATTGTCTGATTGTTAACTTTGACCTTTCTTGTCACTTGGACCACCTTTCTCAGATACCTCATTTATGAGGTCTAAAGCTGGCTTCTGTGAGCTGTTATCATTGTCCGCCCATGTGTCAGGACTGGTACATAGACAGAGCGGTATAAGTAAGTAAATGTAGTAAAGTAAAGGGCCCTTTTCCACGCCTTTAGGCGTATAGGGCATATAGGGCTAGACCTATATTTTTATAGACCAATCGGCACAAGATGGGTGATGTGGTCAGCATCACGCTGGATAGAGCGGTATATAGCCATGTTTTTTCTCTTGCAAAATTCTCTCTCATGGGAGGCCAAGAACCAATGAATTAGACCATCAGGATGACCCAGGGTTCACTGGGAAGTCAACATCTGACAATACCTGACTGACAGAGGACCTGAATAGAACAAAGCCACACACACACAAACTGATCCCTGACTGACAGAGGACCTGAATAGAACAAAGCCACACACACAAACTGATCCCTGACTGACAGAGGACCTGAATAGAACAAAGCCACACACACACAAACTGATCCCTGACTGACAGAGGACCTGAATAGAACAAAGCCACACACACACAAACTGATCCCTGACTGACAGAGGACCTGAATAGAACAAAGCCACACACACACAAACTGATCCCTGAGTGACAGAGGACCTGAATAGAACAAAGCCACACACACACAAACTGATCCCTGACTGACAGAGGACCTGAATAGAACAGAGCCACACACACACAAACTGATCCCTGACTGACAGAGGACCTGAATAGAACAGAGCCACACACACAAACTGATCCCTGACTGACAGAGGACCTGAATAGAACAAAGCCACACACACACAAACTGATCCCTGACTGACAGAGGACCTGAATAGAACAAAGCCACACACACACAAACAAACTGATCCCTGACTGACAGAGGACCTGAATAGAACAGAGCCACACACAAACTGATCTCTGACTGACAGAGGACCTGAATAGAACAAAGCCACACACACACAAACTGATCCCTGACTGACAGAGGACCTGAATGGAACAGAGCCACACACACACAAACTGCTGACGATTTTTATGGCAAACCTCTAAACCCCAAGGTAGAAGAGGAGCGACCAAGTAAGTAAGTAAGTAAGTAAGTATATAAACAGTTACTGATTCTGATTTCAGACAACAACTAAAAATTTAAAATTCACACACATATATACACACAAAAGGGGGACCCTTCTAATGCCTGGGCATACAGAACTAGACATATTTTTAAACACCAATCAGCACTCAATGCTTGACCTTTACCTGATACCAATTTTATGCTAGGGGGTTTTTTGAATGTGGGCAGATATTATTTTTTGAAAAAACAATCTCACATGGAGTGAGATTCAAACTGATGACTTCTGGGCTATAAGACAAGCGTCTAAACACCTCCCCCCCCCCCCCCCCTTTTTCCCCCTGAAAACAGGTACTGGTACTGCTTCTACAAAACTCAGGAACAGTAGTAATTGGGTACTTTATTTATACATCACATCAGATTTGCAGTTGACGACTCCTCCATTCCATTCTATCCTGTGCAATCCTTTAGACATCATGTACTGAATCCAGCCCAGCACTTCTGACCTCTATCATCCACACTTATCATAGGATTTCTCATGGACATCCTTATTTCCTCAATCCTGTTGTTTCAAATTTCAGTTTCTGTTTTGTGATTCTTTGGTCAGTTCATCTCAGACTGTGCCTAATGTGACATCATCATCTTTCTGTTAACTGTTTATACCACTGGTGGTCCAAATATTTCTTTTATTTCTTTGAATTTTTTTTAAATTATCCAATTTAATGCTATTTAATTTTCTCAATCCCTTGTCTTCACATGCATTTAACTTAGTATGAATTTTATAATCATCATCATCATCAAGTGTCTTGTTGACTGACATGGATGATGATGCCTTTTCACCTCTTGCAATCTCCAACAGCATGTACCAGTTCAGGTACTGACAAACTTCCATGAATGACAAACTTTCATGGATGACAAAAGACTGTTTTGAAATCTGAAATGAAGGGAAATCCACAAACATACAAGACAAAGAGGGACTGTCCAAATATCTTGTCAAAGCCATAAATTACAGTTTTCCTATGTCACAGAACATGTCCTGAACCAGAAAAATATACATGATATGCTTGTAATCTTCACATCCATCATAAAGACAATAGAAGAACAGGAGAAGCTCCATCACAGGGCTATTCAACTAACTTTACTCAGGAGTCAAAATTTTGAAAAAAGGGATCGTCACGGACAAAACGCCCAAGCCCCAGAACTGAATGATCATTACGACAATACAACTGGCAATGATCTCCGGGTCACTTACTAGGCAGCCAGTTGAATAACCCTGCTCTAATGCATTAAAATGAAGGATTGTGAACAGGCACATGTAACTGCCAATTACTGCTTTTATTTTACCCACTTCTGTGGTGTACGCAAGGGGGTCGTTGAGCCTGATGATTTAAGGGTCGCATGTCTAGTGCCATCACCACGGACTGTGCAAGGTGAAAAAAATCCCCAACCTTACCGAGGCACATGTAACACTTACCTGCAAATTAGAAGTCAGCCGATAAAGTCTATCATCATTAGTCTGAGAGTGATGTCGCTGTCGAGGTTGATGTGAGTAGTATTCATCACTTTCACTTGAGATATACTGAGCCATGGTCGCAGCGTGTATCAGTTAGGCTGACGGGTGGCAAACAAACATATGTCATTCAAACATGTATGAGTGTATATGTGAGTATGCAAGAGTCAGTGAGTGGGTGGATTTGTGTATGTGTGTTCGTGAATGCATATATATGTGTGTGTGTGTGCAGGCAAGTGTGTGTGTGAGAGACAGCGAAAAGGAAGGGAGGGGGGACATTTCAGTTATTTACAAATTATGTAAGGTATTAGTGTATTGGCACAAAGATATAAGTTTAATAAGATATAAACAGATTGATCACCACAGTCTGGTGAGATTGATGCAGTTGGGGGTGACGAGAGGTTCTGGCAGAAGCTAAAGGCTCAGAGGAAAGGCAAGACGGACGTTTAATCAGAAAGCTACTGGCACCATTAGTATTGGAGCTCTTCGCTGGTTGCTGAAGATGGGAAAGGAGCGCTTATAGGAATGCCCCGAGTGCTGTGATGTCGGTTCTTGAATCAAATCAAATCAATCAGATATAAGTGTACTGGCATGCTACTGAGCCATGGTTGCAGCATGTATCATTTAGACTGACCTGATCAGTGGCAAACAAGCACATTTCATTTAAACATGTATGAGTGTACGTGTGTGCATGTATCATTTAGACTGACCTGATCAGTGGCAAACAAGCACATTTCATTTAAACATGTATGAGTGTACGTGTGTGCATGCGAGGATAACTGAGTGGGTGGGTTACAGTGGTACCACCTGTAACTGAAACAGGCTAGCAATGCTTTATAGTGCAGAACAGTGTCTGAGGAATCTTGTTAAATTTACAAATTGCACATGGATACAGTATTTACATAGATTTTTTTTAATTGGAGGCCTTAGTTTTTTTTATGTCCCCCGTTTCAACCAGTGGGTTTCGGGGCCCTTTTATAGGGAAAACAAGAATAGATCCACTGCCTACCCAAAAGCATGCCGTAAGAGTCGACTAATTAGGAGTTTTCTTCTAAGTTGGAGTGCATCTGCCTGAGAGGCAAGGAACCAGCAATCTGCATACACATGAGTCAGATCTGTAAAATGGAGCGACATTCAGGTTCTGGAACAGGACTGAAGTCCAGAAGTGGACGAACAACCATAACTTTCCACCGGAGTTTTCAGCTGGTGAACGCGAAGAACAATTGCTATTATTAAATAGGTACTTTACAAATGATGACAGCACTTTATAAATGATGACAGACACTATAACAATTATTATTATAATGTGTACTTTACTCAAATATATTCCACATAATACATTGACACGGAATGAAGTAGCCACTGCTGCCCGTCCAGCAATGGATCACAAACTGTTCCTCCTCACAATGCTTAACTCTTTGAGTCCCAAGGAACGCATCATACGTTCATAGGTTCCTACCTAGAAGCCCAATGAACGCATGATGCGCTGATTTTATTACTTTCTTAACTACATCCCTGGGCCTGTGATTCTAAACTTCCTGCGACGCAAAGAGTTAATGGCAGAAGTGAAAAGTGATGATGATGATAATTCCACATTTTAGTTTTATGATCTAGTTTTCTAGTTCTAATTTTTTAAAACTAAAAACAACTTTTATTCAACTACAACACAGCAACTTCCTTTTAACAATCTATGTTCTCTATGTAAACATATATCTACGATATCCTTCTCTGATTCTCATGGAGCCCTGTCATTCACACACAAGCTTGCATTTTCTGGACCACCAGCACAGATTCAATTTAAGAGCGCACAATGTTAACAAACCTTTCACAGCTCTCATATTTATTAATTAGGCGCCGGCTGCCATTTCTATTCAAAGGCGCTGCTATGTGATTGAAAATCCATAACCCTCACCAAGCTGTGTTCACTACTTGAATCAAGGGGAAACATGGATGGTGGTATCGGTAAGGAAGGCAGTAAATTGACACAGTGGCGACTGTTGATCACTTTTCGTGCAGGTTCTAACATGTTCTGTTGACTTACACTGCACTAAGTTGATAGTATAGTAATTGTTCTTCACTTACAATTTAAAATAATAAATTAAGTGAGCAGATTAAGTATTCACGCTCATACGAACGACAAATTGCAACAAAATCTCTAATAAGATCTCTCTTTGACTTTACCGGTTTGTTTATCTTGACAACGCCCGGCCCCTCCATTAAAATTCAGAGCTCCTACACTATTGTGTTTAAACTACTTGTAATCAATGTGGCTGAGAATATAAAAGATATTACAGAGCTTTCATGTAAAGATAATAAAACAACGTTCAGATGATTAAGAGGTAAATTATATTCATAGAAAGTAAGAGGATTAAAGCAAAGAAAAGATAGTAATGTGCTCAGGCATGTCGCGCACTGTTGTTTACCTAAATTGTTTAAAATGCTAACCTTGTTATACGAAATAAATTGACATTGGTTTCAAAATTCCAAGCCTTGAATTTTTAATTATATTTGACTGCATAAAATAATTTGAAAGGGTGCTATGGAATAAATAGAAGAAGGTGGTTTAAACAGTCGTCTTAGTCAATCCATCTGCGTTAAAATTGGGATATGAAGATTTTTTTCTTTTTAATTTCGAAACTGGATATCTATCTATGCTGTAACGTCTTCTTCTTCTAGGCATGAAGGCTCTATAGCCGCAACGTTCACGTTATGTTTGTATTTGTTATATTGTGAAGCTTGCTAATATAATTTACGTTCGGTTTTTTATCTTTTCTTCTTCTTAGTCTTCTTCTTCGCATTCCGGGCATTTGAGGTTCATTGCTGCAAGTATCACCCACCTACCTTAATTAATCTCTGTGACTGGCCTTCTCTTTCCAGTTTGTGACTTCAAGTGTTTGTTGGTTTGCATGGATAAATCCCTTTCCATCGACGTCCCTGCTCTGTCTCGTGGTGTACAGCCATTCATCTCTCCTGTGTGCAGTTTTTGCCTCTCTTTCATCTAAAATTCACTCAATATGCCCCAGCCATTTCAGTCAGTTATCCCTCGCGATGACAGTGTTCAGTGGTGATTTTAACAGGTTATACTTTTCATTGTTCCTTCTCCTCCTTTTATCTGCATCTTTAAACTGGAGTCGACTAACTGGGAGCTTCCTTCGAAGTTGGATTGCATATTCCTGAGAGGCAAGGAACCAGCAGTCTGCATACAATTGAGTCAGATCTAAAAACGGATGCACACGCAACACTCAGGTTCTGGAACACGACTGCAGTCCAGAAGTAGATGAGCAACCAGATCTTTCCACCTGAGTTTACAGCTGGTGAACGCGAAGAAGAAGAAACTGGCTCAACGATTCATTCTGTTTGTCAATTACTTTGAGTTATTTAACAAACAAACATTTCTAAAAGAGAGACATATGAACGGAATACTGTGAAGTTTTTATAACTAATGTGCTCACAACAAAGGAACAATTGGTATCTACACCTTATGCTTTATTCTTTCTTTCCTTCTGGCAATGACCAACGATACGGCAGCGGTGGAGACAAAGACAAAGCAGAAGACAGGATATTAAATATAGGATTTTAGTTAGACCCCTATTTCACTGGAGCTACATAGGCCTATAGCTCAGCAGTGTACCAATGTGAGGTAGAGGACAAGAGAGTACGACTTTCTTATACTTAGTTAGTTAGTTAGTTGGGTTATCCTCATTGCACTCCGGACATGTCCATAGGTGCTCAGATCCTCCCCCTCAGTATGAACCCCAACGTCCGATGGCTGTGCCGATCTTAATTCCCAAGTCTGCCATTCTGGCGAGTGATGTGGATTCACTGCCACCAAAGTCCTCTATCCTTCCCATTTCTTTGAGGGCATTGATAATATCATCATGATCCATAGGCTGACCGTCGGTAGTGATAGCGGATCCAGCCAACCTGTCAGCTCTTTCATTTCCATCGACGCCTCCGTGTCCCGGAACAAAAATAAAGGTGACTCTACGCACAGTGGACTTCTGTAATGATTCAAGCCATTGTCTTCGCACTGATCCTGCCTGAACCCTCCGGATCATACTCATTGAATCACTGAGTATACACACGCGGGTGTATTTTTGTGTTTCAAGCCAGGCAAACGCTTGTGTCACTGCCATCATACTATCCCGGGCGAAGCCAGACAATTAAATCTAATATTTTAAAAGCGAATCGCCACTTGGTGGGTGATGTGGTTAGCAGCACGCATGCCGCCTTTACTTCCCATGATTTTACCTGGTATCATTTAAGGCTGGGTTGACCTGTAAGCCGAATCGTTGAGAAACAAAAGTCCTGCATCATTGGGATTTGAACCGATGACCTTCAGATATGCAGGCTAGCCGCTACGCCATGGCACCTCACATTTCCCATATGCCCTAATAATTTATAGTTAAAAAAAGTACCCTATTGTGATTCCAGGGACTCATGGTTGGGGGGGGGGGGGGGTAGACTCAGTGCTTTCCTTATAAGGGAATTTAATTTTTAATTTAAGTTTTACTGGAATCAGACGTGCACGGCTGAAAAGCACAGATATCGCAACTTGGCTGTAATCAAAAACATAACACAAAAAATATTGTGATTGTCCTACAGTAACAGATCCTCATCATCATTCCTTGCTGTGTCAATAAGTCTAGGATGTCATGTTTGGCTTATTCATACGATCACCAGAATTACGGATTAATTCCATGTTCTTGTCTCCCCCATTCCATATGGCCAAGCCATAAGGTTATTTGTCTTTTTTTTCCCCTTCTTCTTCTTCTTTTTCTTGCTCTTTTTCGCCATGGAAGGGTGAGAACAGTGATCTGCCGAGCATGTGCGTATCTACGTATCAGTGCTGATGCACATCATCCATTGTACCGTGAGATTCTCAGGAAGAAGGGTAGCAGGTTGAAAAGAAGAAAATCTTGAACTTGGACTTCTAGTAATTTCCCCTGATTTCTGAGTAGTGAGATCGGACTCCCGTGTGCATTGTTGCGCACGAAAAAAAAACTTGGCAGTTGGAAATCGAAAAGAGGCTTAACGCCGCTGCCCGGTCAAAATTTGGAGTTTAAAATCTACCCAAA